TTTTAGAACACTTTTGTTACCACAAAAAGAAACTCTGTACCTTTTAAATATCACCCCCATCTTCCTATCCACCGCAACCCTAAGCAACTACCAATTTGCTTTTTGTCTCTATAAATTTGCTTAGATTGGACATTTTATATAAAGGGAATCATATAATGTGGTTTCTTTGTGACTGCTTTTTTTCACTTAGCATAATGTTTTGAGGAGTCCTGCATTTTGTGGCACGTATCAATACTTTATGGACACGTAATATTCCATTGTATGGATATACCATATTTTGTTCATTATTTTATTTTTTTGAGACAGAATCTCCCTCTGTCACCCAGGCTGGAGTGCAGTGGCACATTCTGGGCTCACTGCAGCCCTGATCGTCCGAGGTCAAATGATAAATAAATAAATAAATAAATCATTCAAATCAGTAAGAAGAGGAGCCAGAAAGGGTAACAAAGGAATGACCAATTTTGAGTAGGAAAAACAATTCAGGGGAGTTTAATTTCCTGAAAGTTGAGTATGGTAGTCAACTGCCAGGATGGCTCCCAGTGATCCCTGCCTCCTGGTATTGATACCCTTGTGTGGTCACCTCCCATGTTGTGCTAGGTTTGGTCTGTGTGATCGTAGAATAGATAGCAGAAATAATGGTGTGTCATTTCTGAGATTAAATTACAAAAAATATCGTAGCTTCAGCCGGGCGCAGTGGCTCACACCTGTAATCCTAGCAGTTTGGGAGACCGAGGCAAGTGGATCATGAGGTCAAGAGATCAAGACCATCCTGGCCAACGTGGTGAAACCCCATCTCTACTAAAAATACAAAAATTAGCCGGGTATGGTGGTGGGTGCCTGTAGTCCCAGCTACTCGGGAGGCTGAGGCAGGAGAATCACTTGAACCCAGAAGGCAGAGGTTGCAGTGAACTGAGATCACACCACTGCACCCCAGCCTGGGCAACAGAGCGAGACTCTGTCTCAAAAAAAAAAAAAAAAATCGTAGCTTCCATCTTGATCACTCTGGGTTTACTCATCATGAGGAAAGCCAGCTGATACAGAGAGACACACATGGGAGAGGAACAGAGGCCTCCATTCAACAGCCATGTAAGCCATCTTAACAGGCAGGTTCTGCAGCCCCAATCAAGTCTTCAGATCACCACAGCCCCTGGCCAACCGCTGGACTGCAACCTTGTGAGAAACCCTTGCTTTGGAGCTGGGGAATAAATAGGTTCTGGGGCACATTTTGAAGGTCAAATGCAATGTATTTTCTGATGGATTGGCTGTGGTATATGAAAAAGAGAGGCCCAAGATGACTCCAAGGATTTTTACAAAAAAGATAGAAGGATAGAAGGCCATTAGAGATAGAAAGACTATATAAGGAGTAGATTTGGAAACATGCTACATAAAAGTCTGAAAATAAGGGGAGATGTCTAGAGGTCTTGAGATATAAATTCAGGTGTCATCAACCTATAGATGGAATTTTAAACTGTGGGATTAGAGGAGAGGGAATGTAGAGAGAGAAAAGGTTTGTCCTGCTCCTCATAACCACTCAGTTCTTTAGTTCTTAGCTTAAATACATATCAAACAAAGATCTCCCTTGACTTGAACCAAAATATATCCTGTGGCTAAATGTTCCCATCCCTGACCTTGTACATCTTTGGGTTTTTTAGAGCATACTGGGTCTGCCACGTGGTAGGCACCCAGTAAAAAAATTAATGACTAAATGACAGAACTCTCTGTAAGAATCATGTATTTTTACACGTAATTTAGCAAGCTCCTATCTTACGGTACAAACCATACAGCGTTGACTCTGTTTGATGCTTTAAGAATCCTACTTTCCCTCAAAGGAAGTGTGAGAGACAGAGCAAGCAGCAAGCTACCCCAAACCATATAGAACTGGGGAGCATGAATGTTTATCATCTCTCTCATATTCTATCTCCCCGACTTTTCTTTTTTTAAATTTTGTTCTGTTTGTATTATTTATTTTGAGATGGGATTTCACTCTGTCACCCAGGCTGTAGCTCAGTGGTGCAACCACGGCTCACCACAGACTCAACCTCCCCAGGCTCAAGTGATCCTCCCACCTCAGCCTTCTGAGTAGCTGGGACTACAGGCATGTGCCACCATACCTGGCTAATTTTTCCATTTTTTTGAAAATAAGGGTTTGTTTGTTTGTTTTAACAAAAAACAGGCTGTGTTTTTTGTTTTTAAAGATAGAGGTCTCACTATGTTGCCCAGACAGGAGTGCAGTGACTATTCACAGTCGCCATATCATAGTGCACTGCAGCCTTGAACCCCTGGGCTCAAGAAGATCCTCCCACCTCAGCCTCTCAAGTAGCTGTGGTGTGTGCCACCTTTCCAGGCTCCTGTGGTTTTCTGAAGAAGAAGCCTCAATGAGTTTCCAAGTGTTACCTTCTGCTTGTTCACACTTCCTGATGCAGTGGTCTCCCCTAATCCTGAAATTTTTTACAAAAAGAGGGTGGTATAGCTGCCTCAGAGCCAAGAAAATGAACATTCTTTCAAGGCCTGGGCTTTTATGCGGCTGTCTCTGACAACTGAAGTGTCTTAAGGGAGTGATGTGTTAGTGGCACTCAGGAACTGGCTGAAAATGCAGATTCTCAGGAACCAGCAATCTTTATTTTAACAAGCCTCCAGGGTGATTAAGATAATAAGATAAATTTCGAGAAGGCCTCTTCAGAAAGTGTAACTCTTGTTTAGCCTGAACAGCTTTGGTTTTTTTTCTTTTTTCTTTTTTTTTTTGAGACAGAGTCTCACTGCAACCTCAGCCTCCCAGGTTCAAGCGATTTTTCTGCCTCAGCCTCCCAGATAGCTGGGAATACAGGCACGTGGCACTACGCCTGACTAATTTTTTTTGTATTTTTAGTAGAGACGGGGTTTCACTGTATTAGCCAAGATGGTCTCAATCTCCTGACCTCATGATCCGCCCGCCTTGGCCTCCCAAAGTGCTGGGATTACAGGCATGAGCCACCACGCCCAGCCCTGCTTTTTTTTCATGTACAGAAGCACAAAGAGTTTACCTGATGTTTTGAGTGCTTTTGTTCATGCCAGCTCCTGAGTCAAGAGTTTGTTTCTTCTCTCAGGATAACAATTGTTTATCTTGTCCCATTCAGACAGTTTTGAAATGCAGTTTTCTTCGTCATGTCTACATGAGGTGAAAAATTCCTTGTTGGTTTTTTTTAAGCTTCTTAATGGCTCTGTCTTTTTAAAAAGTAACTTAAAATGAATGTTATATAAATATATATTGAAAATTTAGTTTTCTCTGTACTTTCACCTCTTAGAGTGTTTGTTATACAGTTGAGCATTAGTTGCCCTTTTTGTTTCATACATTTGTTGGCTATCTGATGTACGTAACCAAATCTTAGAGAAGGGATCATTTATTATTAACTCGTAACAAATGAATTAGTGTATATTGATTCTCTACCATGTGCAGTCACATATGATCTCAATTTACTTACTATTGACAACTCATCTATATTCATCATAGGATAATAAGAAATACTGGCCGGGCACGGTGGCTCATGCCTGTAATCCCAACCCTTTGGGAGGCCGAGGTGGGCAGATCACTTGAGATCAGGAATTTGAGACCAGCCTGGCCAACATGGAGAAACCCTGTCTCTACAAAAAAATTACAAAAATTAGCCAGGCATGGTGGCGGGCACCTGTAATCCCAGCTACTTAAGAGACTGAGGCAGGAGAATCGCTTGAACCTGGGAGGTGGAGGTTGCAGTGAACCAGGATGGCACCACTGCCCTCCAGTGCAACAGAGCCTTGGCAACAGAGCAAGACTCCGTCTCAAAAAAAAAAAAAAGAAGAGAAATATTAATCTTTCTAGTGGCATTCACCAGGAATGAGTTTTGGATTTCTTCTATATTCCAGATCCCTTTAAGATGTACCATGATGATGACCTGGCAGATTTGGTCTTTCCCTCCAGTGCAACAGCTGATACTTCAATATTTGCAGGACAAAATGATCCCTTGAAAGGCAGTTACGGTATGGCTTCTCCAAATGGATTTATTCTGTAGGGAAGGAAAAAAAATTTTTTCTTTACTCATCTTTGGTTTACTGACTAGGGCTCTATGACAAAAGATTGATTAGCAAGAAAAAAGAGACCAAAGTTTAACATGTGAATTTCATATGTATATGAGAGGTACGTAGAGCATGAGTAACTCTGCAAGAGGTGGCTTTAGAATTCCACCTTATATAGCTTCTTCAATAAAGAATGACAATTTTTTTTTGAGAAGTGAGAAGATGAAGGAAAAAAGACTTTTGATTCTGTAGAGGGGCCGCAAATTGTGGGAGACAAGTAAATAGTAGGTAAAAGCTAGTTAGTAAAGGTTGCTGTGTAGATTCCTATGGTGCCATCTCCAGGCTAATAATAGCCTTCAGCTTAAAAAAGTCCTTATGCCAAAGTAGCATATTTTGGGGTGGTTTATTCTGGTCTGCTTTAGTTGTTTAATGCCAAACAATCAACGTGGCCTTTCACACATCACCTTTTAAGTTAACCACTAAGAAAAGTCAGACTTAGGGGCTCTGGATATGACAAGGCTCTCTTTGGATCAATCAAAGGAGACAATTCACAGATTCACAGTTGGGCTGTGATCTCCCCTTTTTTTTGAGACAGTGTCTGACTCTGTCACCCAGGTTGGAGTGCGGTGATGCAATCATGGCCCACTGCAGACTTGGCCTCCTGGTCAGGTGATCCTCCTACCTCAATCCCTGAGTAGCTGGGATTACAGGTGTGTACCACTATGCCTGGCCAATTTTTTGTAGAGAGGGGGTTTTGCCACGTTGCCCAGGCTGGTCTTGAACTCCTGGGCTCAAGTGATCCACCTGCTTTAGCCTCCCAAAGTGCTGGGATTACAGGCGTGAGCCTTTGCACCCAGCCACATTTGTCTACTTCTTCATTTACAGCTGGACACCGTGGCTTATAACTGTAACCCCAGCCCTTTGGGAAGCTGAGGCGAGAGAATTGCTTGAGCCCAGGAATTTGAAACCAATCTGGGCAACATAGGGAGATCCTGTCCTACAAAAAATTTTAAAATTCAGCCAGACATGGTGGCACATACCTGTAGTCTCACCTACTCAGAAGGTTGAGGTGGAAGGATTGTTTGAGCCCAGAAGGTCGAGGCTGCATTGAGCCGTGATCATGCCACTGTACCCCAGCCTGGACAACAGAGTTGAGACCTTGTCTTTAAAAAAAAAAAAAAAAATCTGGGTGCAGTGGCACACGCCTGTAATCCCAGCACTTTGGGAGGCCAAGGCAGGTGGATCACTTGAGTCCAGGAGTTCGAGACCAGCCTGGCCAAAATGGTGAAATCCCGTCTCTACTGAAAATATAAAAATTAGGCTGGGCATAGTGGCTCATGCCTGTAATCCCAGCACTTTGGGAGGCAGAGACGGGTAGATCACCTGAGGTCAGGAGTTTGAGACCAGCCTGGCCAACATGGTGAAACCCCATCTCTACTAAAAATAGAAAAATTAGGCCAGGTGTGGTGGCTCATGCCTGTAATCCCAGCACTCTGGAAGGTGGAAGTGGGCAGATCACCTGAGGTCAGGAGTTCGAGACCAACCTGGCCAACATGGTGAAACACTGTCTCTACTAAAAATACAAAAATTAGCTGGACGTAGTGGCGGACACCTATAATTCCAGCTACTCTGGAGGCTGAGGTAGAAGAATCACTTGAACCCAGGAGGCGGAGGTTGCAGTGAGCTGAGATTGTGCCATTATACTCCAGCCTAGGCAATGAGTGAGACTGCATCTCAAAAATAAATAAATATAAGAAAAATAAGAAAACTAGCTGGGCATGGTGGCGCATGCCTGTAATCCTAGCTACTCGGGAGGCTAAGGCAGGAGAATCACTTGAACCTGGGAGGTGGAGGTTGTAGTGAGCTGAGATCATGCCACTGCTGCAGCCTGGGCAACAGAGTGAGACTCCATCTCAAAAACAACAACAACAACAAAAACCTATTACAAAGTATTTTAATAAAATTGTCTTCTAATGTTGGAAAGGGAAGTGTTAATCTCATTTTGCAGATGAAGAAATTAAGACGCACAATTTTTTACTATAGTATATTATGTTGGTTATGGTGTTGGAATTAGAGTTGAATCATTAATATTTTGAATCTTTATATTACCCTGTAGAAGGTAGCCAATGAATGTTGATTGATGGCACTACTGGGATATACTATACCACCTACTAACAACTAGCTAAAACCTGAAGAATATCAGCATTGTTTCCTTTAAAACTTGTTTGCATTGTTGGCCAGGCACAGTGGCTCACACCTGTAATCTCAGCACTTTGGGAGGCCAAGGCAAGTGGATCACAAGGTCAGGAGTTTGAGACCAATGTGGCCAACATAGTGACACCCCATCTCTATTAAAAATACAAAAAAAATTAGCCAGGTGTGGTGGTGTGTGCTTGTAATCCCAGCTACTTGAGAGGCTGAGGCAGGAGAATGGTGTGAACCCGGGAGGCGGAGGTTGCAGCGAGCCGAGATCGTGCCATTGCACTCCAGCCCAGGCGACAGTGTGAGACTCCGTCTTAAAAAAAGAAAAAAACTTTTTTTGCATTGTTTTTTATTAGTCTGTGTCTGCCTGGCAATATATGCTGCTGATTTTAAATATCAGATACCTTTTGTTTCTAGTGTTTACTAAGTTTCCAGATGTGTTTGTGTTTTAATATTAGGTATGTCTCCTTGCAACACAGCTGTTGTACCTCAGGGGTGGTCTGTGGAAGCCTTAAACTCTCCACACTCAGAGTCCTTTGTTTCCCCGGAGGCTGTTGCAGAACCTCCTCAGCCAACAGCAGGTAAAATATTAGAGACTCCCTTTATCAGTTGATGGCTGCAGTATTGGTAATCAATATAAATCATCAGATGTATTTTTTAGCAGCTTACAGCAGGTATAAAAATTTCAGAACTGTCACATATGTTTTGCTTATATTAGTGATATCACCACTGGAGGAATTAAATTGTTAAACTATAACACTTAGGGTTAATGGGCAAATAAATATATATATAGTTTAACATATATATATATTTAAACATATGTGTATATATATTTTGTTTCATCACATTTTCATTGTATTAGGTATCAGAATTTCTTTTTAATTCAGTACAGATTTTTGGCCTGGTGTGGTGGTTCACACCTGTAATCCCAGCACTTTGGGAAGCTGAGGCAGGCAGATCACTTGAGGTCAGGAGTTCTAGACCAGCCTGGCCAACATGGTGAAACCCCATTTCTACAAAAAATACAAAAATTGGGCCGGGCATGGTGGCTCACGCCTGTAATCCCAACAATTTGGGAGGCCAAGGGGGCAGATCACCTGAGGTCAGGAGTTCGAGACCAGCCTGGCCAACATGGTGAAATCCCATCTCTACTAAAAATACAAAAAATTAGCTGGGCGTGGTAGCAGGTGCCTGTAATCCCAGCTACTAGGGAGACTGAGGCAGGAGAATCACTTGAAACCGGAAGGCGGAGGTTGCAGTGAGCCAAGATCGTGCCACTGCACTCCAGCCTGGGTGAAAGAGCTAAATAAATCAATAAATAAGCTCGGCGTGGTGGTGTGTACCTGTAATCCCAGCTACTAGGGAGGCTGAGACAGGAGAATCGCTTGAACCCAGGAGCCAAGATCATGCTACTGCACTCCAGCCTGGGCAACAGAGTGAGACCCCATCTTAAAAAACAAAAAAATTCAGTACAGATTTAGAACTCTGGGGTGTTTCTTGATAAGAAGCATGACTGACCTGCTGTCCCACAGATGTTGTAATACTAATTCTGTGCCTATGTTATTTTTTGAAGCCTGTGTTTTCTCTCTTCTTTGCCTTTTCTCCTCCACTACTTGTCCTCCCAGTATTTTACATCTTATTCTTCCAAGTGCTGCGACTGTCAGAGATTAGGCAGAATATGTTACTTGACGTTAGCTTCTTTTTTTTCATTTATTTATTTATTTATTTTGAGACGGATTCTTGCCCTGTCCCCCAGGCTGGACTGCAATGCTGCGATCTTGGCTCACTGCAAACTCCGCCTTCCGGGTTCTAGCAATTCTCCTGCCTCAGCCTCCTGAGTAGCTGGGATTACAGGTGCCTGCCACCAAATTTCTGTATTTTTAGTAGAGACAGGATTTTACCATGTTTGTCAGGCTGGTCTCGAACTCCTGACCTCAGATGATCCATCCGCCTCGACCTCCCAAAGTTCTGGGATTACAGGCGTGAGCCACTGCACCTGACCTAACATTAACTTCTTGGTTATGTGTACAGTCTTATGGTCACAAAAGCCAAATACTTTTATGTCTGAAGAAAGTAAGCATTTTTAATGCAAAGGTATGAGTAGACAATGATATGTCCTAAATTTTCAATTTATTTCCCTTAGAGCTAGCCAAGGAGATAGAAATGGCATCAGAAGAAGAGAGGCCACCAGCACAAGCGTTGGAAATAATGATGGGACTGAAGACTACTGATGTGGCACCATCTAAAGAAACAGAGATGGCTCTCGCCAAGGACATGGCACTAGCCACAAAAACAGAGGTGGCATTGGCTAAAGATATGGAATCACCTACCAAATTAGATGTGACACTGGCCAAGGACATGCAGCCATCCATGGAATCAGATATGGCCCTAGTCAAGGACATGGAACTGCCCATAGAAAAAGAAGTGGCCTTGGTTAAGGATGTCAGATGGCCCACAGAAACAGATGTGTCTTCAGCCAAGAATGTGGTACTGCCCACAGAAACAGAGGTAGCTCCAGCCAAGGATGTGACACTGTTCAAAGAAACAGAGAGGGCATCGCCTATAAAAATGGACTTGGCCCCTTCCAAGGACATGGGACCACCCAAAGAAAACGAGATAGACCCAGCCAAGGGTTTGGTATTACTCTCAGAAATAGAGGTGGCACAAGCTAACGACATTATATCATCCACAGAAATATCCTCTGCTGAAAAGGTGGCTTTGTCCTCAGAAACAGAGGTAGCCCTGGCCAGGGACATGGCCCTGCCCCCGGAAACCAACGTGATCTTGACCAAGGATAAAGCACTGCCTTTGGAAGCAGAGGTGGCCCTAGTCAAGGACATGGCTCAACTCCCAGAAACAGAAATGGCCCTGGGCAAGGATGTGGCTCCGTACACAGTAAAAGAAGTGGGCTCATTGAAGGACATGTCTCCACTGTCAGAAACAGAAATGGCTCTGGGCAAGGATTTGACTCCACCTCCAGAAACAGAAGTAGCTCTCATCAAGAACGTATGTCTGCCTCCAGAAATGGAGGTGGTCCCAACTAAGGATCAGGTCCCAGCCCTCAAAACAGAAGCACCCCTGGCTAAGGATGGGATTCTGACCCTAGCCAACAATGTGACTCCAGCCAAAGATGTTCCACCACTCTCAGAAACAGAGGCAACACCAGTTCCAATTAAAGACATGGAAATTGCACAAACACAAAAAGGAATAAGTGAGGATTCCCATTTAGAATCTCTGCAGGATGTGGGGCAGTCAGCTGCACCTACTTTCATGATTTCACCAGGTATGTGCTTGTGCTTATTCTCATTATTTCTCTCTACCAGGGTGTAGTCCTGAGAAGACTAAGGACAAACATCATGCCAGGTAAAGTACAGACCGTCACGCTGTACTTTGCAAGTTTATTCATACTCCTGCTCTCCTAGACAGCTCTTTCCCACCTTTACCTTCCTCCCACCTCCAGCACCTTGTCTATGTTCATTCTCTGCTGATTGTCCTGTTTTTCTTCCAGATAATTCAAGCAATAAAATAGAACATCCACAAATTTCTATTCCATTATCTACCCAACTATTTGTGTCTGTATCCATGGACTCTGCTTATGAAAATTCTCCTGTTTTTATAAGTAAACTGTTCCTGCTCCTAATTAAGACCAACCTCTCCTCATTTTGCACTAGGTTCCATCTCCTCTTTCCTACTTGATATATTGCCCCACGTATTCTCCCCTTTTTTGCCCCTCACACCAATTTAAATCCTTTTCCATTGGATCATTCCCACCAATTTAATAAATGTTTGTTATTTTTCCTATCTTAAAAAATGAAACATCAGCCGGGCGCTGTGGCTCACACCTGTAATCCCAGCACTTTGGGCAGCCAAGGTGGGCGGATCACCTGAGGTCGGGATTTCGAGACCAGCCTGACCATCATGGAGAAACCCTGTCTCCACTAAAAATACAAAATTAGCCGGGCATGGTGGCACATGCCTGTAATCCCAGCTACTTGGGAGGCTGAGGCAGGAGAATCACTTGAATCTGGCAGGTGGAGGTTGTAGTGAGCTGAGATCACGCCATTGCACTCCAGCCTCGGCAACAAAGAGCTAAAAGCTCCATCTCCAAAAAAAAAAAAAGTAACATAACTAGACTAACCCTCCCAACTTCAGCTTCCAACTAGCACTTCACTCCTTTGCTGCCCCTTTTAGGAGAACTCCTCAGAAACTAATCCCATATCCAATTTCTGGCAGGTGGAAAATGGCTGAAATCATGCTTCTCTGAAACGTGTGTGCTTTTTGTTATTATCTTTAGAAACCGTCACAGGCATGGGAGAAAAGTGCAGCTTGCCAGCCGATGAGGATTCTGTGTTAGAAAAACTAGAGGAAAAGAAACCATGCAACAGTCAACCTTCTGAACTTTCTTCAGAGACCTCAGGTAAGTTAGGAAAACAAATTAGGGGCGATAGACTGGTGATGGTAGACATTGTCTCTAGTTTCCTGTTGTATGGTGGTAATCACAGTATAGTTTATGAAGTCAATTCTCTTAGACAGATTTTATCTGGTTTAGACAGAATGTCAGCTTGTTATATATTTAAAAATTATTACTACAGCAAATCAGGATACCTAAATTTTTTTTTCTCCACTTTTTTTTTTTTTTTTTTTTTTTTGAGACAGAATCTCACTCTGTCGCCCAAGCTGGCGTGCAGTGGCGTGATCTTGGCTCACTGCAACCTCCACCTACTGGGTTCAAGTGATTCTCCTGCCTCAGCCTCCTGAGTAGCTGGGATTACAGGTGCCTGCCACCACGCCCAGCTAATTTTTAGCAGAGATGGGGTTTCACCATGTTAACCAGGCTGGTCTCGAACTCCTGACCTCTGGTGATCCGCCCACCTCGGCCTCCGAAAGTGTTGGGATTACAGGTGTGAGCCACCATGCCTGGCCTTCTCCACTGTTTTCATAGTGAAGAAAGGACACCCAAATTTTGATCTGGTTCAGCTGTTCACTATTCTATCCTGTGTGGTCTTAGACAAGTTACAAAACTTGCCTATATCTCAGTTTACTCAGCATAACATAAATTAATTGGTCAAATGTCCTGTAAAGCCTTACTAGTTACAGTGTTCCGTAGCCCAACAGCGTCTGCATTGCCTGAGAGGCTGGTAGAAATGCAGAATCTTGGGCTCTACCTTAGGCCTTTGTAATTATCATCTGCATTTTAATTAGATCCCCAGATAATTCTGATTTTCATTAAACTTTGAGAGGCGCTGCTCTAAGATACTTTCCAATTTAAAGTTTGATTATTCAGTGAATTTTAAGATTAACTGTTTTTGATAACCCAGAAGCATATGTATATGGTTATCAGCTTGGTTTTCTGTTTACTTTTCTGTGTCTATGATTGGAATGTGGACATCCTGAGGGCAGGGGCCATGACTTATTTCACTTAGAATCTCTATTGCTTTGCACACTACGTAACACAAGACTGGAGCTTAAATGTTTGATTTTTTTTTTTTTAATGTTGTTTTACTGACTCAACAAATCAGTAAAGATTTATCAAGTGCTTATGGTATACAGAATACACCATGTTAAGTCACATATTTAAGTCCCACTCCTTGCCCCTGAATTATTACATTATAACCTGAATAAAGAGATAAGTTCTCAGGCATGGACTCTGAAACCCAAGATTTACATAATAATTGAATAAAATAGTATAAAAGATGGCACTGAATAGCTGCTGATTAATTGCTGAATTAAATGTTATAAATACTGTGGGGTACTATAGCCTAGCAATTTTTTGAGCAATGCAATAATTAACCTGATATATTAAATAAAGGCTAGGATTTAGAAGATATTAGAGGGGTAAGGACAAGAATGAAATGTACTATTTATAACATATTATAATATTCTTGGAAATCAGTTTATTGGGTCAGACTTGACAGGAGCTGGCATAGACCTGCTCTTAATGAGACTCTTGCCAGGATCTTAGATCCATATTATATGAACTTGGAGGAAGGTTAGACCAGATCACCTGCTGAAACTCTTCCAGATGCTCACCTTAATTGTTAAAATTAATTATCCTACTTAACGTTATATATATTTCTGTGTCTTTTGGGAAGTATATTTAGGAGCAGAATGTTGAAATTTAACATATTTGTCTTTCAAAGTAGGATGCTCTGGTTCTGGAATGATGAGAATTTTTCTCTGACCAAAAGGTGGATTCAATATATTTTGTGTGTGTGTGCGTGAAGTGACTTAAGTCTGGCCTTCTGATCTAGTTCCCAGAATCTATCTGGTTTTTTTGGACAAGTATTAGTTTAATATTGGTGACCAAGTCTTAGAATTATAAATTTTGTCCAAAATCATGTATATTTAACCAAAGCAATTAAAAAATTTCACCAAAAAGAGGCAAGCACTAATAATGACCAATATAAATCAGATGAGATTTACAGGCAGTAAGTGCTTATTTTAGAGGTTAAAATATTCGAAATATTTCATTTTTAAAAGTTAAATCCTGCTACTTCTGAAATGTCAAATATTTTATAAATGTTTGAAAACAGTCTTTACCTGAGATGATGATCTGTTAAATATTTTTGCTAGTGCCAGTTAAAAGTGAGAAATGTTTTAGAAAAAAACTGTTTTCCTGAGCAAGTTATAGTAAGTAGTATATGGATTAGTGAAAATAGCCTCCTTAAATTAGTCATTTTATGCTCTGGATTTTTTTTTTTTTTTTAAGAAACAATAACAAAGAGTTTTTTGTTTGGAATTTTAGCCAACTTCATGTATTGCGGTACCCCTCCCACACAAGCCAAACAAGTTTGCAGACCCAGTGACCGCAGGTCAGCCCGGCCCAAGCCTGCTAGGGTCCCTCCTGAGCTGCTGGGAGGCTCTCCTCCATGGAAGACTCTTGATCACAGGCTGGGCCACTGCTCTTTGTCTGAGTCAGGTTGGGTCTCTGGTTCATCCTCCTGTGGTGGGCCTGGGAACCAAAGAAAAAGTATTCATGTTGACTCACTTGAACCCCAGAGGGATCTTGGCAGGGAGGCCTGGGATATAGAAAGCACACCAATAATGATGAAGAAAAAGAAGAAGAAACCAAAGCAAAAGAGATATTCTCAACCCCGGGCTGGAGGACCTTGGGATGATGACAATGCAGATAAACCTAAAGGTCATCCCTTTGCAGCTGACACACAAAAATCAGGTGTTCTCCCCAGCCAGCCTACCACTATGGGTACAGAATATGGACTTGTATCTGGAGAAAACTTGAAAAGGGAATGTGTAGTTAACTCCAGTGCAGCCAGATTAGTAACTGAGAACTTTGTCTCAGAGAGTCTCAGAATTCCTTTATATCCTTCAGAAGAAACCCCCAAAACTGCAGTAAGTTATCAGTCTAAGCTGAGAGTAGAGGAAGAGAGCAAAGGTAACAAGTCAGTACCACAAGGCCAAGACAAGAAATTGCTGAAGCAACATGAACACAGACCACAGCCTGCACCCCACCTGAAGACTCCTATAGATAAAAGCCAGTCAGTAGGCCCTCTCAATCTGAAAGGACCCCTAGCAGACGTTTCTGCATACAATGTAGAAACTCCTTTGGATATCAGACTCAAAGAGGGTTGCTCTCCTATCTTGGACCAAGAGGTTATGGGTGTAGTTTCAAAACCCACAGCAGCAAAAGAAATACCAAATTTGATACCCACTTTGATAGCAAGTAACCCATTAGAATGTAATCTAAAAGAAGGGAATAATGAAAGTAAAATGACTAAACTGCAGAATGTCAAACTGAAGGAGTTTCCTGAAGGAGCTGAAGAGGATAAAGAACTAAAAAAGGAAGCTTTTCCCAACCAAAGACAAGAGATCAGCGTCTTTACTTCTGAGCAGCTGCAGGGCCAACTGTTGGTACAGGTCCCTGGGGTAGAGAATGAACCATTTAAGAGAATGGCAGGTGACAGCAAAAGCAGGAAGGGAAGGGGAAGTTCTGGGAAAATGAGAACAGACTCTGGGAAGGTAAAAGCAAAATCTGAGATGCCATTTCCTCTGGACAGTCAGAAGGACGGAAGGGCTGTTCTCATACCGAGTGAACCAGTCTCTAAAACTGAAGGAATGACTACTCAGGATAAGAGTGAGGAGCTGGGGCTGAATTCTTCAAAGCAACCAGGCACTAAGGCTGATCTCACGGAGGCACTGGTGATGGGGCAGCCTAAAGAGATGACTCAGCCTAAGATGGCAGGCACCATGCAGGCATTAATTCCTTTGGAAAGTGGATCAGGCATCACTCAGACTTCTGGTGTTAGGACAGAAACAGGAGATGTAGTCAAAGATGTGGGTGTCAGTAACCAGAGCAAGGAAGGAAAGTGTCCATGGAAGGATCATGAGGCAGCTCTCTGGATCTCTGAAAAGCCTAAAAAGAGAGGCAATGAAGGCAAAAGCAAAAAGTTTAAAAATAGTTATTCCACACAGCCTGCTAGAATGGAGAGGAAGGAAGAAATCCTCAAACCACCTTTTGAAGGGAAGGTTGGAGATGCTGGTAGTATTCCCTATAAAAGCAAGGAAATTGGATTTACTTTCCCCAAAATGCATGATTCTTTGTTCTCACATACACCAGATACACCCACAGTGGAAGTAGTTGACAGGAAGGGTGGAAATTTTGAGGTTAATTTTGTTGAGCTTGGGACTCTTGGGGAAAACAAAATAAGCACAGTCAAGGCTTCTGCTGTTACTGAACAACCTGCCAAGGTGACAGATGTGAGCTGCCAAGAGCAAATCCAGGGGGCAGGATTTGTTCCTTCAGTAGTATCTGAGGAGAATAAGACAGATGCAGCCAATAGATACACTTCAGTGGCTGACAAACCAAGTAAAAGGATTAATGATGGAAAAAGTAAAAAGGTTAAAAATAGTTCTCCTGAGAAGCACATTCTGGAGAATAAGATAGATGCAACAAAAATACATGTTCCCATGGAAACCACAGGGGACCAGGGAATTGAAGGAATGGCCTATATGGATGAAAATAGAAATATTACATTTACCTGTCCCAGAACACCATCAGAGCTGATAAATAAATCATCTCCTCTAAAAGTTCTGGAATCAGCAGCCTGTGAAAAACTGCCCACTCCTACTCCTCAAGTAGTAAAGGAAGGTGATTCCTTTCCAGATACCTTGGCAAAAAATGGGCAAGAGATAGCCCCAGCCCAGATTTCCAAATCATTAATGGTAGATAACTACACCAAAGATGGAGTCCCAGATCAAGAAAGACCCAATGCTCCCTCTGCTGTTGTGCCCTCTACAAGCACAGGAGGAGTTGCTCTACCTATTACAGCAGCCATAGAAACAGTTAACAGTCATGGAGATCACTCTCTTAAAAATAAAGCTGAGCTTGCTGATTCCATGAAAAATGAAGCAGGGATTGCTGAAGGGCATGTGGTAGGAGAATCTGAGTCAGTGGACAAT